TGGCTGTCCTCAAGTGAGCACAACTAGAACAAACCTTATTTTGCAGTTTATTGCAAATTGTCCTTTAACTTTCGATGTGCAAAGAGTTATTTTCTCTCAAATTTCCTGTGATACAATGCGGCCTTTGCCCAGGCAACTACGTGACCTGACAACCATCATAATTTGTTCCATCTAAGTTATATTTAAAGCAAATGTCAAAGCACTAGGCAACCAATCTCCGCAGCTGGTTAAGCAACTTCAGTTTCCTAATGAAGGTGTGTGTTTTCTGCAAAGCTTAGAAAATACCGGGTTGCTTAAGAGCATGAAGAAATGAAAGAAGACTTTACTGGAAGGAAGTCGTGGTTCTGAGCTGTCAGCCACTCGTCTGTATTTTCCCTAAATGCGGTTTGCTCAACCAGATGAAAAGACATTTACTAGCAACTGCAGCATAAACTCAGTGGTGTTCTGTATTTGCCACATTATCTGTCCATTTTGAAGCAAAATTTCTTCCCTAAATATGTCTTTTTTGATTCAAAATATTATCACGTCCTTTACAAAAAGGAAGGCAGGTGAGAATGTTTCAAATGTGTTCTGGAAACATAAAGACAGCACCACAAAGAAACGATACCAATTTTCACAGGTTGCGCAATGAGTGATGCCATTTACATTACTGAATATACTTTTAAATTGCATTTCAGCTACCCAAAGATACAATTGATTTCCACCTATAGAATCTTTATTGCATAGTTAGAACTTGAGGAAAACATTTCATCTTTCTATTGCATGGATATTTCCTTATATATTGTTAAAAAAGAAATCCTAAAAATAAAAAAGCAAAGTTTGCTCTCTTCCTTATTACATCCGTGATCCCATTCAATCCTTAATGTTTTTTACCTTAAAAGGTAAAACATTTTAGTTACTTAAAACTTGTTTTAGTCACTATTAAGACATTTTTAAACTTTGAGACAAAATTTGTTCCTTTGACATGTAAGTAGTTCTCTATAGTGAGACTCAGACTGCAACTCTTGTTAAAGCTGGGGCTAGGGCACTACCTGCTGGCCAGCTCGGGGAAGGGCTCGAGGCCTCGCCTGCAGAGCGTGAGGTGCGTGTGTCCCTTCAGCCTCATCTCAGGCCTGTTCTTGCAGTGCGTTTTGGAAGGGGAACACACGAAATCTGTGGAAAGGCAGAGCAGTTACATACTAGATTCGAACAGGCAGAGGCATCTTGCCTATGAAATTGCTCATAGCATTTTTTCAAACTTCTATCTGAATTTAAATAACTTGTTATTTAAATAGAGAGAGGATAGAGAGAAACTGGGACTGGCTTTAGATGAGGGAGGTAAGAAGGAAGATTGTTTAAGTCCGAAAGTGGCTGTACCGATCTCCAAGTGAGGTCCTTCTTGTGACTCTGCAATTGATGCCCAGATTTTTCTCACCGAGGCCAAAAACATTTTTCTTACCAAGGCCATGGGGTGTGAAGAGGGCGGGAGACGGGGGCCGTGCACAGCGCGCGGGGTCCCTCGCGCGGCGCTGCAGACGCAGCGGGTGCCCAGGCTGCGAGCGCCCAGTGGAGCGGCGCAGAGGCAGCAGTGCCGCCAGAAGGCGAGCTGAGCGGAGTAGAGAGCCATGAGATGCCATGTCTGAGCCAGGCCTGTTCACCCTGGGACACCGGGACCTGCCTGCAGCTGCGAGCAAGGAAAGGGCTCTTGGCAGCTCCCTGTAAGGCAGGTAGAGGGAAGAGCTAAGCATTTCCAGCGGCTGCCTGTTGCTGGGTGTCCCCAGGCAGCTGCTTCTCGCGCTGGGGACCTGCTCCATGGAGCCTGGGGAGCTGCTGCTGGGGGTATCAACTGTCATTACCCAGTGACCCCTATTAGTGACATTCTTCTAGCATCTGTGGGGGGACTGATAGTCTACAGCCCCACCCAAGGAAACTCGATTTTCAACATAGGCAGCGCAACGTAAGCAGCCGAGTTTCTGCCTAACTATGGGAACAAAGGACTTAACTACTCATTAGATTTCTTGCCTGAAATCTACTTCATGCCTGAAAGCTACTTCTAAACGCCAGCCTGCAGCCCGCTTGGTTTCTTAGCCATCTCCCAAAGCAGAAGTGTTCTGCAAGAGACAGTACATATGTACAGTGGTAAAATAAATGAAGCTCTGGTTCAGGTATGACATTTTAATTAATAAAGCTTCTGGTATAGGAAGGATTAAATGTCAATACATTTTATAAAGTATTTTAGCATTAAGCAAGGATAGCATTAGTTCAAAAATAAAATAGAATTCTGTTTATTTTCTTCTGAGGATCAGAGTGCTTCAGAATGTAAGAGTGGGATGCTAGGGTTTGCAGTTTGCTCTGCACAAAAATGCTGTATTGACTCATGTGAGTAGGCTGTCATCAAGCTGTATCTGTGTGTCAGAAAAGGAAGGTAACAATCACAGATGAAGACAGAAAAGCTTTTTCCCAGTGCAGATTGTTGGAAGAGGCAGAATTCCCACCGGATGGGAGCTGTGCAGTCAGCAGCACTATCCCGGCATGGCTTTGGGAAGCAGTGACACTGGCTTTGCATAGCCCTGCTCAAACCTTGCATGGCTTGTTAGAAGTCATATGTTGAGAGATGTATTGCAAAAAGGGTTTTGCAGGCTGAGAAAAGTGGGATAAGGGTGTGTAAATCATCTTGTGATAGCCACAAGAAAATTGTAGGTGTGCTGGAAAGCTGCTTGGAAAGATGCACCTGAATCTTATTTATACTAAGGCCCTTTTCCTCTAATCTGCTTTTGAAAATGATCTTGTGGTATCTTTACAAATTCTATTATATGCCCTTTCCACTTCCAGAATACTTCCAGTGTGTATTAGATCACTTATTCCAGGTAGTTCATCGGTGTTACTTTGGGATGATTTTTCTGTTCCATAGAAGCAAGTATACTAATCACTTGTGCTTGGATATTTTTATACTTCTGTTGTGCTTATTTATTCTGTCATTGGGAGTGTTAGGAATTATAATGTGTGTATTGTATTCCTCTATTTTTGATGTCAATTAATACCAGATTCAGAAGAATACTGGATTCTTACATGAAACACAGCAGTACCAGACCTTTGCCCCAACTAATCTACAAAGATTTTAAAAAGCATTAGAGGTAGGTCCTGCAGATCTAAATTTTCATTTGAGTTTAGTTAGACTTTAAACCAGGGAATGTACTTGTCAAAATCTCCTGGAGATAGACACACTGATTCTCATTTTCTGAGGCTCCTCTCTGAACTTCTTCCAGTTTTTCTATAAGGCCTGAACACAAGTCTCCCCACAAGGGGTGAATACAGGGTTTAAATAACATTTTGCCAGTTGCTTTATGGCTCTTTCCCCATACTTTATTTTATATCAGCTTGGACTGTTTGAAGTGTAGTTACTGCATAGGAAATAGCAAGACTTGAATTGTCCTGTCTGAAGAGACATGATTCATGGTAAAGGCTGTCTCCAAACCAGGTTAAGCTTGAGAATTCACAAAACAAACAGCTGCTGTGACACTCAAAGACAAGAGAGAGCAATACAAACAAATATTTTATAAGACAGCAATGTGAAGTTTAATAATTGATTTAATAAAAACCACAATAAAGTAACACATTTCTGCTCTTTTCTTCAATTAAACAAATGTATAGTAAATCATTACAATAAAAAAACTCCAAATACAATACATCTACCATACTTCAACTTCTAATAACATTGACTGTAAACCCCAATTTATTTAAATTCTATTTGAACATCAGTATGTGCAAAATACCTGTTTTTTTTTTTTTCAGGAAGTTCGTAAGGATGGGATACATTTTTTTTCATGAACTGTGATATGGCTTAATTAGTGATACTGTTTGTAGTGAAGCATTAACTTCCCAGGTATACTGCTACTTTGCCTCTCATGCCATAGTAAAGTGTTCCCATTTCTTGCCAGAACCAGCGCAAACATAATCCAGTGTTAGGTGTGCTTTGTTCACATGAATACTGTGCTGTCATTTTTCACCTCTGAAAATTTGTCATCTGATCCCTATGTCCAGATGAGGAATGAAAACAAGCCAAACTTGTCACCACCAATTGCAGATATAAATCAGCCTGATGAATATATGAAACCCTAGCAAGTTTCAAAGCAGATGATAGCTTAAATATTCACAGCTGAAAATTGCAGCATCCATTAGAGGGCAGATTTCTAGGTCATATTCATGTAGCCCTTGCAGAGCCGGGAGGTATCACAGCTTAGTGGCTGTAACCACAGGCAAGGCAGAGGCAGGTAGGAGATGTTGTTGTCCCGTACACACTCAGAGTACAAGGACTCTGCCATGAGGCTGAGCAGTTCACTTTGGTGGATTCCGAGCTGTCAGGATAAGGAAAGAGTCTCTCCAAATTGCCTCTTCCCTCTGCCAATGTAAGGAAGGGCCCAAGGGAATATTCCCCCTGTAAGGTGGTTACAATATTGCTGTCCATCACAGGTAGGAAAGGATCATGGATTCCTTGACTGGTAGAAATGGAATGAAATAGCTTACTGAGCTTGCCTGGGTTTTGTTTTATTCACAAAGCTAAATAGTGAGGTACTGCTGTTTCAGTGGCACTCCTGTCAGGATATCTCCACTGCTGCGCTTGGAGCAAACATGAAATGAAAAGGTCAGAGATTCAAGACTGAGCAAATAGTATTTATCTAAAACTTCTGGTCCCTACTTTCCTGCTAGAAGAGCTATGTATTTTACATGTCTACAGATTATATGTGAGAGGATCTCCCTACCAAGTACACTTTCTATCATTCAGATTCTTTTAGCGATGCAAAACAATAATGGAAAATGTTCAATTATAGCACATTTATTAATTATAATTAGAATGCATGCTAATTAACTGGCTTTTGAATGTGAATCAGATGTTTTAGATATTCAAGAATATTAATAATAAAGTCATCTTAGAACTCAAAACTCTGTAAAATAAATACCTGTTTCTAAGGTATGAAGCCTATTCTAAAATACATTAAAGGTAACTGATCACTTGAAACATTTTGGGTCCCGCTTTGGGTCTCCAGTTAACACTAGAGGCTTGCGCAAGGATCAGCCTGGCTGCATCTCTGAATGCCCAGATTAAAGCTAAATTTCTGGTCTGGGTACAATAAATTGTGTTTTACAATGTTTCTGAAGAGACAATTTTATATTAAAAAAATCAACTATCACTGTATGCATCAAAGTTTAAGATACTGTATAAAAATGACTATTGCAAAAATACTGCATAATGAATTCGGGGATCATGACGTATTGTGCAACCCTGGCATGATCAGCATTAGAGGTTGTAATTGGAATACTGAACACTTGATGCTCCACTCAAGAGTGCAAGTACTTTATGGTACACACTTATCAAAAGACAACCTTGATCTGTAATTTGTGAGGTATCTGCAGAGCCATGTTGCAGTCTGTAAACAATAATCTTCCAACAACTTTGTCTCAAAATCATAATAAATTGAATAGACCAGTACAAGGGAGAAAGTAAAATACATGTTCTGTAGGGCAACTACTGCACTTTTTGCAGCACCAGTTCTTCCCTGCTGCGTGTTACGTGATATAAATCCACATGTTAAGGGTTCTATTTGATCATTTTCCTTTTTCATTTATTGCTCTCAGTCTTTGACTACAAGGTAAAGAATAAGGCAGCAGTTCCCAAAACATACGAAATTAGGCACTAGAACTCTGACAACTTGCACAGGTTTTGTTCATTTCCTGTTTGTAACTCTGAAGCTGGACAGAGCACTTATACATCCCAAATGTGTTCAGCAGCAGTTGTCTGGCCTTGGACTGAACTTCCTCCCACTTAGATGAACTACCAGGAACTGGAAAATCAAGAAAATAATGAATACAACTCATTCCTCAAGAAACTTGACAATTCAGTTGTTCTCACATTTATTATGCAGTCTCACCAACTTTGTTCTCACTGATGGTATTTATTAATTTAATATTGTACTTCAGTCAATATGTACTACATATTTTACACCTCTAGGCCTATATCCTATTAGAATTGTATTTTGATAAAACTGTGGATCTTTTACTCAGAATATTCCTGCACTATATTTAGGTATGTCTAAATGTATTTAGATGTCTAAAACAGAGGAGGTTTTGACAAACCACAATATTAATTTTCCCACTGTTCCAAATACTAGTTCAGAACTTTACCCTATCTTTCCCAAAATAATATAAGGAATTTCTAAGGAGAAATACTTTTTTTTTTTCCACCCAAACATCTAGTACAGATTAAGTATGTTTAAGTATGAATGTATTTTCTCCCTGAACAATTTCCACTTAAACTTTGTCCTTCACAACTGAAGGGTTTTTACCTTGCTGTGCAAAAGCAAAGTTAGTAGTTTTTTTTTCCTGAATGATGCTTCCTGAATTTACTTAATATGAAGAGAAAATCAGAATTTTTTCTATACTTTATCTTAACCCGGAATTGTGTTACACAGCACCTTACCTAATTGCAAGTGGACTATGGCAGTTGTTTTTCCTGCAGTGAGAGACCAGATATTTAAATCTTCTATAGAATAAACATCTTCAATTTTCATCAAGTCTTCCTTAATACGATCCACATTCAAATGCCTTGGAACTCCTGTGATACCAGATAAGAAGTAAAATTAATTCTGTTTTCTGCAAACACTCACTGGCCTTCAAAATAAGATGCCCTGGCACATCTCAAGAAGCCAAGAGATTTTATAGTTTGTGTTGAATTTGAAGGGATTAACAACTTCCAAGTTATCAATAGAGAAGAATATGCAAACTGGCACATGGAATCCCATCACTGGCAGTAGTAGTGTCAGATCATTTGGCTCCATGTGCTTCTACAGACACAACTTCAGTGCAACCCCTAACTACTGGAAACTACTTAGACCAGACTCTTCAAAAGAAAGTACAATGAAGTACCAAAACTCCTAAATAACATTTCTTCCAAATACCAAAAATTAGTTGTTGGCTAATGGCCTGAAGCATGAATAACCATCACTTCTAAATGTTTAGATTAGCTAATGCAACTACAAATATTCCTTTATTTATATATATATATAAATTCTAACAAGCTCTTCACTCTAGAACTTGCCAAAAGTACATATATACATTTTGACAATCAGGATGCCTATGCAAACAGCTACAAGTCAGACATCTGGAATGGGATACAACATTAACCTGTCATATCTGTTTTCTTTGGCTAAATCTCAGTTGCTGCCCTGGTGATTGCTAACGCATTTCACTATTTTTGTCTTCTGAGTGAATTTCTATTTATTGCTGCTGCTGTTTTTCCTAAATGACAAGAAAAGCACTGGCCATTGAAGATTTTGAGGTCCTAGATATCAGAAGACCATACTAACTGGCACATGAGACACCAATGAAGGTACAGGTTACAGCTAGGATTTCCTTTAAAAGTATTAGATTAAGCAGCAATAGTGGATTTGCTAGTTGTAATGCAGCAAAGAATGTTGCTGGCATTTTTCTCTCTAACTCTCCACACAGGGTAAGATTATTCACCTTATGTTCAGCACTCTCCCCATCTCCCCTTCAACATCATTCTTGACTTGTGCTTCTACTGCTCTTACTACAGGAGAAAGTACAGAGGTGACAGAGCAGGAATTGCTGGAAAGGGCAAAGCAGGACAGGCATCAACCAGCTGTCCAGCCACTTGGCCTGGATTTGCTGCCTCCTTTTACATGCATTCCCATTCACTTCACATATAAGCTAATGTGAAAATGTAGACCTGAACCTGGGCAAAGTTTCACTTAGCCCAGCTGATGTCCAGTGAAGAGACACGAGAAATTCTGTACTTTCCACTTTTACCTTCTCTGGATTCTGAATTACCTGTGAGCAGAGCTAAGATTTGTGCCACCCTGGCAAAGGTCAAAGAAGCCTGAAGGCTGCTGCACCTTAGATCAGCTCTCGAGAACCAAAAGACCGGAGCAGCAGTGGGATAAACAAACCAGCTAGACACAGCCCACATTGATAGAGTTATCATCTTGTCAAAACAAAGCATCATGCCTCACTGGTATTCGACATGCAGCACTACAGACTGCACACAGATCTTACCTTCCAGAATAATGACTCCTGTGTCACACAGAATTCGAACTGTTGTCAAAACCACCAGTATGGAGAATACATAAGTACATATAGGATCAGCAATCTTGTATTCTGGCTGCAAGGGAAGTTCCAACAAAATACTATACAATTTTTTAAAACTTACAAGACTCTCTTTAATTTACTCACTGGAGTTGAATAAAGAATTCCACCCTCCCTCAAAGACTGGCCCTTCCTTACCTTGAAGCGTATGATGTACGCAGCTACGAGAACACCAATACTTTGCACCAAGTCTCCAAGGGCATGGACAAACGCTGCTCTCACTGCCAGGCTGCTGTGGCCATGGCCGTGGCCGCTGCTCTGGGCTGTGTTAGGAGAGCTCAGCTGAGGAACGTGGGAGTGAGGGTGCGAATGGGAGTGAAGGTGGCCAGACTGGTTCAGCAGAAAACACATTCTGAAAATGAAAGAAGAACACTCCAAGAAGCAGGTTTTATGGTTCCCTTTTTTCTTCATCAAAATAATGGAGAAAATACAATGTCATTCCCTTATTTTATGAGAATGAGGAGGTTCAAAAGAAAAGCCATCCGATAAGGAAGTTACAGGTCATGAATAAATTAGCACAGAATATGAGTATTAATGGGGAGAAAGAGAGATCTTACATCAAGTTAACTGCAACACCAACAGCTGCTGTAATCAGCATGATATCGCCATTTATTTCATAGTCCATATGGATAGTTCTTTGAACAGCTTCATACAAGAGGAATGCCATAAGTATATACACCAGCAATACACTAATGATGGCTGATAATACTTCTGCAAACAGAAAAGGAAATGACATTACAAAAGCGAGTCTCAAATCTATTTTCTATTTGTTTATAAGGTGGACAGAGCCTTAATTATTTCAACACTATTGTACGCTTATTAAAACACAAATAAGTTGTGCAGTAATTCAGATTTAGAAAATAGAATTAACAAAGGGAGTAGTTCATGGTAATCAACTCCTTCATGTTTCCTGTCAGTTTATGCTTCATATGATGTTCTCCCTGATTAAACTAAAATTTCTGCACAGACAACGACTGTGACTTCATCAGACTACCTGGAACTTCTGCCTGAGAAGTCACAAAGTCACAAAGTCCTGTCCAGGGGAAAGGAAGATCGGCATCTGAAACATCACCAGCCCACCTACAAACCAGAGAAAGTCTTGTTTCAATTGTCCACAATATTAAGCTGGTTAGAGAGGTGATTTTTATGTATTCTTTACTGTTTAGAATGAAGAAGAAGATATAAAAAGATTAATGCACTCAACAATGCAAATTCACCACACAATAATATTAATACTCAGATTCCTGACGTATATATACACATTATTTATTGAACATTTCAGCTATGAATCATTGCTTAATATAAGTCCCTGTATTGCTCTATTAGCTGTTTTAATGTTATGGTTACAAAATTTTCTTTTTTTTTTCATAAAGAATATCATTAATTTTGGGCTTTTCAGTCTCATAATATTATCTTACCAGCACGGCTTTCAAGAGGGCATGTACGTCAAAATAAAAAGAAAACAAGAGACTGAATAAAAACTCCTGATACCTCACTGCCCTGCACCTTCAGCTGCCTCCTGCATCTGTGAACAGTGGTTTTGACTCCCCTCAGGGCTTCTGCTGTTCTGATGTGAGCTAAATGGGGCTGTGATCTGAGACGTGCCTCAGTTCCCCTCCCTGTTCTGAATCTGTCTCTGTATAGTATAGCTTTTGTTACTGCAGAAGGTGATGTTTGCAGAAAAGCATTGTCTTCTTTTAATTTATTGAATATTGTAGATAGAAAAGAAAATGCAGCTATAAAAAGCATTTTAATAACACCAAAATCACTTGATCCATAGACTGCATTTTAACGTCGTTACTGGCGGAGAAACGCACGCCAACACATTGAGCTTTTTGGTAGCATGTCAATGCCTGGATGAGGATCAGCTTTGCCAGGCAGTAACAAGGCTCTGAAAAGCAACTGTCACAATCCCCGATGATTTCACAGCGATACGAAAATCCTGGAATCATCCATGCAAGCACAGAATCACAGGATGGCTGAGGTTGGAAGGGAGCTCTAGAGATCATCTAGTCCAACCCCCCTGCTCAGTAGCATTCTTTGTAAAGAGGCAGATTATTCAGAACAACAACCTTAAACATATTTGTTGAAAGTTCTCTAGCATTCTTTTTTTTTTTTTGAATTTATGAAACCACAGCACATTAGTACCAGATAAATAATATGTTGTATTTTTAATCTAAAACCATGTACGGATTTCTTTTTTTTTTTTTTTTTTGGAGTGGAAACGAGTATTTTCCTTACAGTAACTTTCACAAAGTCACTGCCTTGCTGGCATAGTAGATTTGTGCTGAGATCTTTCACTTCTTTTGAAATTAACTATGCACTGGACTGAGCGAGTCTGTCATTGCTAACAGTGTCTCTGCAGGAATGGAAAGATGCCAGGTTCTGTATCTGTGCTTAAATCTGTTCTGTATCTTGCTGAAAAGGAGATATCTCCACTTGGTGAAACAGAAGTATTTTTGGCTTCAACAATATAGCTTTTTTCAAACAAGACTGCAATTTCCAGTGTTTCATCTTCACTTTTCTAACCGATTCCTGAATCTATCAGCTTCCTTTTCACCACTGAAAATAAGAGCACAACCAAAGACAGACCAAACACAGTATGTATTCAAAGAGAATCCAATTTAATAGAAGTAGTGCTAATTTTGACCAGATAACCAATCGGTCTGTTGTGTTGTTATTACCATGGTTATGGAAACCACTTCGAAAATTCATGGTTCTACAAAGAAAAGTGGTAATAAGCACTGGAAACATTGTTCATTATAAAATTTTCATGCTCACTCTATCTATAGTTTCATGCTCACTCTATGCAAAGCAGGTCAGCTATGAGATAGTTCTTGTACATATTCCCAACTTTAAACAAATGTTCCTAGTTTTTCTGTGACAGATGCTTAATCTGTACCCAAATTCTAACACTGTCATGTTTTAATATCTTTTCATGAAATGTAAACTATTGACAAACTCAAATTATTTGCTGACAAGCTTCTTACAGTATAGAATATTTGGGAAAACATGCTACAGCAAAGATACAGCACAGAAGCAGCTTTGTTCCATTGCCAGCATTCACTGATGTGTGAAACTGGGCTCTCAGGCCACAATGTTCCAGCTGGGCAAATTAATCTCACAAATGTGGCTTCTGAAAACTATGTGCGGGCACTTTGAACCAGCTCATCTTCAGGACTTGCAAATCCTAGATGCAGGTTTTGGGGCCTCCTGCAAGGCAGACCTTTGGTTCCCTTCCTCTAACAGAGCGCAGCCCTGCTGCTCGCAGGGAAGGTACCGCTGGAGACTGCCTGGTCCAATCGCCTGCACAAAATGGCCACAACGAGAACACGTTGCTCACGACTGTGCCCATTTGAGCTTTGAGGAGTTCCAAGAATGGAGACCCCCCCAACATCTCTGGGCAGCCTGTGACAGTGTTTGACCACATGTTGTCACTGGGCCGCAGAAAGGCAGGAGTAACTGCTGCAGGAGTGAGTAGCTCTCCTTACCATAGAGGAGATGATGGGCCATATGGACAAGATATATGGGTTATCCCACAGGCCACCACTGCATCAGCCTCGCCAGTGCTGGTTTTTTTGGCAGTAAAATGGAAAAATGATTCAGAAAATGGGGTGACAGGAATCATCAGGAATTCATGCTTGCAAAGTGCTATGGATCCCTTGAATTAATTGAAAATACAGTGAACATAATTCAGTAAGATTTTGATGGCTAACAATGTCATAGTTTTCTTAAGATAAATTGCTCAAGCTTCCTGTTTTAATTTAGGACATGGCATGCTCATTCTACATACACAATAGTGTAAAATCATTTTTAAATAAGGCTAAGGTGACTTACTATGTCTAAATGCTACCAAGCATCTTTGTGGAGAATATGAGCAAATGCCAGGGGCATACTTCCAAGGTCAGGTTTCAGTATTAAAGGAAACTCATACCACAAAATTAAAACTTCTTGAAAGAAAAGTTTGTAATGGGAAATGCTGGCATTGTTAATCCATTTGTGCTAAAGCCTCAAGGATCTTTTTTAGTGTACAGGGTTAGGCATTCATGCATTAGTGACTAACTGATGACATACGACCAGGAATGATAGAATTGTTGAATTATATTGCTGTTCTAGCAGCCAAAGAAATAATTGCAAATACTGACTACACCAGACTTTGAAATTATCTGAAATATGTATGTTATAGAACATATAGAGGAGAGAGAAAAAATCAATCTATTTCATGAAACCTGACATTTGAAGTTCTTGGAAAAATATCTACAAGATTTGCTACTGTATATTATGAATAATTATTAATACCTGGTACAGTAACCAGCTACATGAAATCACCCTCCTCGTCTTATATTTGCAAATATGAAGTAATGAATCCTGAAAATTCCCTTCCAAGGTTTAACTCATTATTTGTCTATACTTGTTTTACAGACCCAGTTAAGTACCTTACTGTATCGCATGCTATGGGACATTCTGACCTTCGCTGTATGTTTCTGGGTGTGCCACAGATACGAACTTAAGAGATTTCTTGCAGGACAGAGCTATGCTATGATATTACATTCAATAGAATTTTTTAGCCCTGAATTTGTTACTCCTTTTCTTCTAGTATTTATTTCTGTAAAATTCAGTGTTCTTTATAGTTGTTGCTTAAAATACTGTGTTAATAGTAAAAACTGGTAGCAAAATACTGTGTCAATAGTAAAAACATACCTAAGCGATGAAATCCAAAGGTGAACCTCTTTGTGGGAGACTTTGCCGACAGCCAGAGAGCAAGTAGAGTCAAAATAATTCCACTAAGGTCAGTTAACATATGAAGTGCATCTGTCATAATTGCTAGACTGTTAGCAACATATCCACCTGAAAACAAAAATGGAGAAGTCAGGACATGCTAGTAAGGATAATGGCACAGTTTACAGATACTTATTTTCAAAATACAGCATTAAGCACATGAGAGTACTTCTTACAAACACTGAACAGACACTTTTACCCTTTATAATCAACCTGTTCTGCTAGAATTTAAGCCTGCTGCACAAATGCAGTGAAGTGTGCCCTCTGTTAAGAGTAACAGAGAAAGGATTCTTCCATGTAATCCCAAGGAGACTACTTGTTTCATACGGCTTGCAAGATCAGATCAAATAGTTTAACATTTTTTCCTCTGTAGAGTGTGTTTAATCAGCTGATCCTTCCATTAAGCTCTGGCTGTTAAATCTTTTGACACTACAGAACAGGGACAGAGATCCAGTGACTCAAGAGCAAAGATATTCACCATGCCCTCTCTTTTATTTTTACTGCACTATCTTTTAAGTGTCATCATTCCCTGTCCTGGCAGGGTTATATAACTTCTGCCCCTCTCTACTGGAGACAGCAACTTTCACTTGCAGGACTTCTTGCTTTGTTACTTACTACCATATTTTTTCTCACAATTATGAGCTGCATAGAGACAATCTCAAAGGTTAAAATCTTCATTTTGATTGAGTTGCCCAGTGTTACTGTGGGATGGGCAAGAGAGATCTCATCTATGTGCCTCTCTTTTAAACACTCCTTACCCAGTTGGGGAATCAAGGATAGGCTTTTTTGTCTTCCATATGCAGGAAGGTAAGCCCATCTCCTCACAAAAGATTACATCTTCAGAGGCAGTTTGCAATGATTTAGTTCCTCTTTTCACCTTGAGGTTGTCACTGAACCTGCAGGTCCCACTGAACAGAGCACGCAGCTGGTGTGACATGTGGCAGGCTTGCGGCTCTGGCTAACATTGCCGGCTCGAGATAGCTTCGTATACCATGAGGAAACAGAAAAGGGAAATTCACAACCAGATGATTGCTCTCAAGACCAGTCAGAAAACGTGTGTGTGTGTGTGCACCTGGCTGTACATGTACACCTGCAGACAGAGCTACGCTCTCCTCCTCATGCAAAAATGCATGGCTGGGTACTGTAGTGGTAGCTTGCACGGCCACTAACTATTGAAAACCAAGGACTTTATTCTACTGGAGCTCCCTTCCCCCATTCCCTTTCTTTAGGTGCCCATAACTTTCTACTCAAATTCCTGGGAGCCTGAAATTTTCCAGAGGCCATCATGGCTCAAAGATAATGAGCTACAACTTAAGCTTTAGCAATTCAGCATCTTTTAGCATAAAATGCGTTATACCTTTCCTTCCTGAATTAATTTGTATTTTTCCATGATTTCAGAAAAAGATGACTTAGAGATGGGAAATTCAGTCTGTTTTATAGTCAACACGGAAGAAATAATTCATGTCTAAGGACATTCAGTTCAGCAGTGTAAGCGTATGATCATTTAAAGAATGCTGTTAATCCACATAGATTAAATTTTGAGTCGCTTCAGTCCAAGATGAATCAATTTCATTTCAGGTTGTTTCTCTTTAAAGTATCTTTAAAAACAAAAATATAAAGCAGGACTTCAAATACTGTAGTTAATTTTAAGGTAACATGAGGCTTAAGAAAACATCCCTTAGATTTGAAATGAAATGAAATTCTGAAAGTAAAGGTTCTCAGTTTCCAGGTGTATTGCTTGCTTGCTTGGAAGAAACTGCCTGAGCAGCAATTTAGGAAAAAAAAAAAATTATAATCTACAGTCCCTACAAATAGAAGGCCTGATGTCTCACCGCTGTTTTCACTGACCCATTAAGGACAGCAGTTCTGCTGGATGATCAAATAGGGATCTCTGAACATATCTGAACACATCAAAACCCTAGCCAGAAAAGCTACCTAGGACACACAAAATGTTTTTCACTTCTTGATGCAAAACGTACCCACAAACTGCAAGTTGTTATCTTATCTGACTTTGACATAGCCTGCTCATCAAATTTAATACTGAAGTGGGCTGGGTTAATGAGCTTGGCTGTACTTAGAAGAAAAAAAAATGCCAATCAAGATTTCACAGAGCTTGGCTACTGAACCAGAACTTCCTTCACCTTGATATCAGTAACAGATAGCAGAAAGGTTTTTATTGAATAATTTAATTGTCTGATACGGTCTTCTGCCTTCTCATCAGAAACTCAAATCTGTCAAGGATCATAGAATAGATTTATTCAAAATATTCCAAAATCTGAAACCGATAGGACCTAAGTAGAATAAATTAAACAAGGGCAGTGATCCACAACCTGAGGGGTCCATCTTTAATTACTTGTTCCGCTGCTGATTACCTGTCCTAGAACAAGGCATTCCAGTCAAAATCCACAAGAACATTTAGAGAGCTAATTCCTGTTTATTTCTGTGGGAGTTAGGTATTTTATGGACCTGCACCCTAGTTCTTTAAGCCTCAGGGCCCAAATGACACCAGCAGGCTGGTCCAGCACACGCAGACCAGATTCCTGCGAGCCCATGCACGAGTACTAACACTTTGTACAGCCAAATCAACCACCCTGGCCAGAGCTCGCAGAAGTCCTGGCTGCAAGTGAGAAGCAATGGTGATGCAACACTGAAAGGAATATTTTTACCCTCAACACCTTTTATTTCCAGTGCTGTCCCACTACTAGCTACAGAGGGGCGTGCAATAGCAAGAAGCAAGTCAGGAACCCTGGTACAGATACAGTCTCAGCAATTCAGCATCAAGCTATGAAGAGCTCAGCAATACTGTCCAGCAAGTGGCCTTTCAGATGGATTAAATTCAGCATACATCAGGACTCCAATATGAACACAGTCTAATAAAACCATCCTAATGATAGAGGACGTCCACGCTTGACGTCCTCTGCTACAACCTTTGTCTAATTTGCTCAAGTTCAAGCTGAACCAAAATCTCAGCCAGAAAAAAAGAGAGCCAGAGAAGGGCCAACTGAGGCATTCAAGCTGATCTCCACAACAGGTCGGGCGCCAAGTACCTTATCAATGATTAGGTAACATACTGTGGAAGTGCTGTTAATGACTAACCAACCACACACTCAAAGGAAGATTTTGAAGGGCAAAAACACTATTTTCCATCACCCCATGTTCCTGATAAAAGGCCCCAGATAAAAACATGGTGCAAATAAAGTCAATCTTCCGGACTCTCTGAAACTAGACCTAAGAGTTGTATTTTTTTTTCCATGTATGTGGGACAAATTGTATTATTTACACCTAGATCATGGTTTTGGCCCTTACTCATACTGTAGTTGCTTGTCTTCAATATACCACTCATAGCTGCAATAGGATAAGAGACTACCCATTTCACAAGAGCGGTCATCAGAAGGAAAAAAAAAAGTCAACTTGATTTCTTTTTCTCTAGCAAACTATGGCAAATAAATTCTCTGACATAGACTTGTATGGTAAAATGAAAGCAATTTAAAAGTGATTAATTGGCACAGTTGCTGGCGAGGCCCATCTCCACCTGTCTGAATGTCTAATGATTGATGCAATGTCCTGGCACAATCTCACACTCCCTGCTCCTTGTTATCAGGGGCAAGAGGAGGACAGAGTTTACACGTCCTTTGGGAAGATGAGGAACACCCAGCGGACACACTAGTGTTCATGGACATATCCAGATTACAGATGTTAACAGGACAATAATGAACAGAGAGGTGAACAGTGATTGTAAGATGAATGCTACACTTACAAACGATTAGATAATGGGGAAGGCATAATTTTCCATAGCTCGCCTACAAATCCAAGGTGCTTTTAACTTTAGATTTTACTTCAAGCCTTTGCCACTGTAGTCTATTAAATGAAGTCTTGTTTCATACATAAGTACAGATTCTCTTGAGCCTGGATAGCTGGTAATAGCAAGCCTTGAAAGGGGAGCAATAAAAGCTGAACCTGACCACCAGATTTGCTCTTCCAACCACTAATTTGATCTTTATATAGGAACAAATTTCAAGGTAAAATCCAATGTACTTCATCCAAGCACTAATAAGCAAAACCCACAAAGAATTGAATTAAATCCTGTGAGTGAAGCAAATTAAAGTAATAGGTCTTTAAAAGCTTCCTATTACAACACTTAAGAACACAAGGGAGTTTGACTGCTGTCCATATGAAGCGAGAGCCAGTACAGACACAGCAGGAACCAGCAAGTTGTCAAAGAGCAGTTGCTAAAAACCCGTCCCCGCCGGCAGCTGCTCCTGAGGAGGGGGATCCCCTGCCGTACCCCGCCGCGTCACACATGCTCACATGCCCCCAAAACACTCGTTTGGCTCCTGGAGCCAGCGTCACCTCAGAAGCCGCGCTCCCCTGCTCCCGGGGCCAACACTCCAGTATTCCACGGCAGCAGTTAGAAAGTACTGATGGTGGAATTACCCATATTTGTTTATGGCTATGCGATACCATTCTACTCGCCCCTCATGAAAAGCCGCTTACAAAAAAGAATTATATATCTCTCTATATATGTATGTAACGTATATAAATGTGCATATGAGCGTGCCCCGTCGGGCCCTGGGGGGAGTGCTCCGGCAGGTGAGTGCAGCCCTGCCAGCCCCGCTCCCGCGGAGCCCCGCGCCCCCCGCTCACCCACAAGCGCGCCGGCCATGAAGAGCAGGTAGAGGGCGGCGGCGAGCGCGAGGCGCCGCTTGACGCGCCGCA